ACTAGATACCTGGAAGAGGATTTTTTTTATACATTATAAAGTACAATATTGCATTTTGTTTGTAGCATATTTCATACATCAATGCCATAATGTGAATACATTATCACATTCAAAAAAATATATTAAATTTAAATTCATAATATTACATACATAAAACATAATAACATGTTAAAAACATAATATTACATACATATTTATGTTTAAAATTTAAATATTTGAGGAGGGATGACGGGGTATGGGAGAATATAACTAGGCTTATCCTGTTCGGAAGAATGGGTACTCATACGTGAATAAGATAATCTAAATATTCTCCATATGGGCCTATTTATCCTTGATAGTGAAAGAAAAACAAAAAAACATCGTTCTTAAGGAAGCCCTGATTTAAAACAGGTTCGTAGTTTGTTTTGAAAAATCAAACCTAAGATTTTTTTGTTTTGTTTTTCATAAATTCACAAAATGTTTTTAACCTATCGAAATATGAAACGAAAAAACAGAGAGAGTAGTTGTTTTTTTTTGAAAAATTGGGCAACTTTATATATATAAAGCACAAGTAACCTTTTCACGGTAACATTTTTTTTAACAATCTCAGCTAAACTTGGGGGGGATCCATGGGGTCCCACAGGAAGGTCAGCTTTCGGATCTGACCCATATGTCACCCCTGGAGTCGTATGGGTTTTCTGTACTATGACATTGATTTCTAAAAATCATTCGAAATCATCTTTAGAGCACTATGGGGAGTGACAGTGGAGGGTTGACATTCGGACCTGACCTCCCATGTCACCCACAAGGGTGCCTTGCTATCTATGCGTTCCACCTCCTGGTTTCAACTAATCTCAACCAAACTTGGGCTGCACCCTTAGGGTCTTCTGGGGAATAACATAAGGAGATCGGGTTACGAATCTGACTCCCCACGTAAACCTTGGAGGAACCTATGTATTTTCCGTGCTATTCTCTTGATAGTGACCAAACTTTAAAAACACCCTTAAGATACTTAGGGGAATGACATAGGGTGCTTCGATCTCTCCTCCTTTATCATCCCCTCGGGGAACACTATGTTGTCCCCGTGTGTTGAACCGGTAAATCAGCTAGTACATATGTTTACAACGAAAGTCTTCATAAATATAATTGTACAAACAAATACGTTTTGAGTATTTAAAATTATATATGTATATAATTTATGAATTATAGCTTTCAAATTGCGTTATGTTTTTCATTTTTTTACATCGGTATATTTCATAATATATGTTATTCTTCTTTGATTCTTACTTTTTATTGCGCGGGAAAAGGAATTAGCTCTGAAGACAAAATTTTTCACTAAGAGATGGCGCCACCCTGATAAAACAGTCTGTAATTTTATTTGAAATTTTAGCTTTTTATATCTTTGAATATTTATTTAATTAATTTGCAATAAAAGTCTATATATTAGCAGTAAGACAGGTATACATATCAAAGATGATTTGTTATCATAAAAATTGAAACTCTAGCATTACGAAAAATAATTTATTTTTTCTATCTTTCCAGAAATTGGGCAGATTAATTACATCTTTATCTTGTCCACCTGCAGGTGGCAGAACAGTAATCTGAGTACTTATAACGCTAAAAATCGGGTTTAGATACTCGCGGTGGTCACAGCACGTAATAGTCCATTGTGTAGCTTTGTGCCTAACAACAAACAAACTATAGCTTTTGAAGGTGAAATCCTATTTCACCACCTAGTGGCGCTGTTTATACTTTTACTGTTATTAATGGTTATCGGAAACAAAAACATGTGGCGAAGAGGCTTTCACATTTCTGTTATTTTTCTGTTTATTTTTGCTATTGTTACGTATAACAAAGAAATTACAAGCAAGTTAAACCTGGTTCTCCTGAAGTTTAGAAACCATCAGTGATATGTGCACTTTAGTGAATTCTCTCTCTTACAACCAGAGGGCAGTACTTGTATCAGCTGTTAAAGGAGAGTCGGGGCTTTTTTTCACGTAAATAATACTGGCATTGAATAAAATTATACTTCGGTATTTCGTCTTCATTTGGGTTTTCCTATTTTTGCTCGGAATACATTCTTAACGACCTTAAAGTCCCTGAAACTCTTACACAAAAGAAACGAGCTATTTTTTGCAAACGCAGAGATATTCAACTCTCTTACCTCGAAATCTCTCTTAAAAATTAATAAAATAAATTTTGTATTCAGTTATTTTTATTTGTAGTGTTCTTCTGCAGTGCGTTATTGTACATACGTTGTATATATTTTCTTGCTCTTCGTGTTATATTGGTTAAGTGAAATAGATAAATATTCACCCATGTGGAAGTGATTTACAAAGCTCATTTACGCATCATTTTATTTGCAAACCACTAATTGATAGTAAATAAAATGTTGACTTAAACAAGAGTGACAATGGATCTGACACTTTTAAACGTTCACTTAGACAAAGCGAAAGTTTAGTTATGTTTGTTTCTTTGGAATTAAGCACAAAGCTACACAATGGGCTATCCGTGCTCTGCCCACCACGGGTATCGAAACCCGTATTCTAGCGTTGTAAGTCCGCAGACATACCGCTGTGACACTGGGGGGCGTTTAGTTACGCAGATAAAACATGGCTTAGTAACGAAATACTTTATTTAGAAAAAAGCCCTGTATTCAAAAATTGTGTCCTTTCGTAATTTACGTTGTCAAATTTGTCTCACCTGCCGTTGGATTGCTTTATTCAAAAGCCGAGTTTTGTTGTTGAATCGCATTAGATAAACTTAAGTTCTGCTTTGAACACCTTTTCTAAGTTGGCAAAGAATGATTATAATTAATTGTGCTTGCCATAAGACTATTATTGTTATTAGACCTGTTATATCTTTTAACACAGCGTTCTTTATTCTGTCCCTTTATTCTCTTCAAGAAGAAGAGTGTGTACTAGTATTTCAAACACATAATGTGTGTTATATTCATAGCTGACGACGCGTTTTGCTCAATACAGACCTTATCAGACAAGAAGTGGTCCTATTTATATAAGCTATTTCTACAAAAACAATTGTTACGGTTTGCTTCGATATCCTAGAAAAGAAGAATTCAGTTTAACCCTTTAAAATGTTAGTGTGACAGTATTTAAAAGTTGTAATATATTGGTTTTATCTCCTGATATTCATTTTGAACTAGAATAGTCAATAACTCCAACATAGAATTTACTGCTTTAAATTGGACAAACTAATTATTTGCTACAAAACGTTACTGTAACAAGTTAACTTATATATTGGCCACTTTTTTAAAGTCAATTGTCCGTGGGCTTCTGTGAAAAACACATTATAGGTGCCCAAAATTTAAGATTTAAGTTCAAAGTAATAACTAATGTATTTATATGCTTTGTAATAAAACTAAATCAGGAAAGTGCTGAAAAATGCATTTATCAAAAAGGGCTTGCCTGTCATTCAAATTATATTGTATTATAAAACCAAGGTATTACTTTAAAACATTTTATTATTGAAATTGTAGAAATGTTTCAAGTTAAAGGAAAACAAACAAATATTTCAAATTTGAACCAATATATCAATATACGTATATTTAATTATTTCGTGTATAAATATGCAGCACCAAATAAAGGAAGCTTACAAAATAAAACAGATAAAACTACGTCATTATTATTTTTATCAAATTAAAAATTATTTTTACCGAAGGTACTATGTTTTTCTTGGAGGGGGGACTTAACTTTTTTTGGTGTCATGTTATTTTGCTCCCCAGTGGCGCAGTGGTATGTCTGCGGACTTACAACACTAGAACCCGGGTTTGGATACCCGTGGTGAGCAAAGTACAAATAGCCCATTGTGTAGCTTTGTTCTTAATTTCAAACAAACAAACACTCAGGTTATTCTCGAAATAGTAGATAGTGATGACATCTGTTGATTGGATATCAAACACCAATATCCTGAGAACAAGAATATCCGAATATCATTTACACAAGCTAGTAAGAGTAGTTATGTTACAGTAGAAACTTCAACAGGTTCAGAAAATTTACATTTTAATTACTTTCGTACATTAAATTAGTGTTGAAATATAAATTTAAATATTTAAGAAGTATAAACTGACCAAATCATTTTGGACTCAAATTAACACATTTTAACATTCCAAAACAGACGATCTCTTACTACAGAAAAACATAATCGGAAGTCTTTGTCTTTGAACATCTTGATAATAAACAGTAGGTTTGGTGGAACTTAGGACAAAATAATACTATCCTCAAGACTGTTCATCAGGTAGCCTGCGTTATGCTATCATCAAAACTATAAATCTTACGTGACTATAGCCTACTGACGACTGTTTATCATTTAGCTAGTGTTGTCATATCCTCAAGACTATAAGTATTACGTGACTATAGCCTACTGACGACTGTTTATCATTTAGCTAGTGTTGTCATATCCTCAAGACTATAAGTATTACGTGACTATAGCCTACTGACGACTGTTTATCATTTAGCTAGTGTTGTCATATCCTCAAGGCTATAAGTATTATATGGCTGCAACTTACTGACGACTGTTTATCACTTAACTAGCTTTGTCCTGTCCTTATTACTATAAATTCTTTTGTATGTCGTGTCATAACGGAAGACAGTTTAAAAAATGCCATGTAAGAGACGTTAAACATTTTAGTTCATGTTGTTAACGTCGTGTTTGTAATACTTGTTTTATTTTAAACTGCCCCCAAGTGGCACAGCGGTATGTCTGTAGACTTACAACGCTAGAATCCGGGTTTCGATACCCGTGGTGGGCAGAGCACAGATAGCCCATTGTGTAGCTTTGTACTTAATTACAAATAAACAATACTTTAAACTTTTTAGATCATTTTTCTTGTACATAAAACATGAATTGAATGGTGTTAAAGAACTGTATTGAATTAGAAAAAACACACACGTATATACCTACACGTTTATTTGTGATTTATAAGAATAACAAAATGTTATGTATCTTGTAGTATAATGAAATAATTTTCCAAAAACTAATATTTATATTTTGCTTATTTTTAGGTTTTTGAAACACCAGAGAATGCCCAAGGCCTATGAGGAGATTAAACTAATAATAGGTGTTCCAGAAAAATTAAATACAAAACCAGAACATTTTGTGTCTAAGTGGATAGGGGTTTAAATAGAGAGATAGGTGCCTTTGTAGAAATGAAATAAACGGGATTAAAAGTTCTTTGTTAGATTTTTTTTTCTGAAAAGAAACGATCTTATAGTGGTAAAAAATGTATGGTTTTTCCAAGGGTCTTGTATTCATTGACGTTTATAATGATATCGATGCTAGACGAAAAGAACTATGCGAGACCAAAAAACCCCGACTCACCGAAAATAGAGGTTATCATGTAAGGACTGCTGCTATGGAGGGTTTACAAGAGGGTTTTATTAGTTGTACGTATAGAAATAATCTTGGTCAGCTCCCTAGCGTCCTAGATAGGGATGAGTTCGTCTCCATCCATACAGTAGAAGATCGACTTCCCCCTGTTCCTGAAGGGGAGGAGGATGAAGAGGAAGGACCAGCGATGACGTCCACAATCACTAATCACAAAAAACAACTGGTTTCTCCGAAAGAAAGCTTTATGACTATGTTAGAGCTCAATCATAACGATAATAGTGAGAACAATTCTATTGAAGAAAAACTGGTAGAGGAGGTTATTATTTATCGTCTTCCTGGAGAAAGGTTGGGCATGGCTCTCAAGTTCGAAGGAGGTGTTGACGTCAAGGATAACGTGTCTCAAATTTTCATTCAATCAATAAATGCAGACAGCCCAGCTGCACGAGCGCGCTGCCTTATTAAACCTCTACAAGAAGGAGATGAAATATTGAAAATCGATGGGCACAATGTCTGCGAAATCACACGTTTAGATTGTGTATCGTTATTAAGAGATGCTTCTTTGTGTATTAAAATGTTGATAAGACACGAAAACATAAATGGTAATAATCATCTTACTAGTGGTCATACTCAATCGTTAGAAACATTAACAGACGTAGTTAATAATGACGATAAACCCCCGTTACCCAGCAAAAAAATGGTATTGACTCCTCCTCTTCCTCCTCGAAAATCCTCTAATTTGATTAAAAACGCCACCTGTAGGCAGCAAGAAGAACCAGAGCAAAGTGTTATTGATAGAATTGCTATTATAGAACAAAACAATAAGTTACCTGATTTCCCCATTAAAAGGCCATCCAAACCTCCTCCACTTCCTCCTCGCATACCTAAGCCACTTCGTACTTCCAATACGATAGATAGCCTGCCAGAAAAACAACTTCCAAGGGATGAAAAACTAAGTATGAAATTGCCACATTGGGAAGTCCTGATGCAGCGTCGCGTTGCACGTCTGGAGGACACTTTACACCAAGACGAAAGTGAGGCAACTGTCTACATCGACACCTTTGTTAAAAAGGACACTCAGACCACAGAATCGGAACCTAGTGACACTGGAAGTTCGGTGTCGAGGATGATCGAGAGATCTTGCACAGATAATTCTAACTTGAACAGCCAGACTACGTTGGCTCAATCTTTCGATTTGAAACAAGTTCTAAGTCCTTTTGAACAACTGGAGAGGGAATTTAATGATTCCGAGGAGAAACTTTCAGATACAATTTCTCATTCTGGTATTTCTGATGACCTTAATATGGTATTCAGTACCCAAACTATAGACTCAACAGTGTTTGCCATTGAACCTCCAGAGTCCTTTCAAGACTATAGTCCTGAAGCAACAGTTGAAAATTGTTCATTTCCAGCTGTACATGCAGATGATAAAGAAGGCAACAAGTTCGATTCACCTTTTTATATTATGAAGGATACATTTTTCTGTGTTGAACCAGGAGTTGCACAAGAAGAAGATTATCAGGGTGATGTTACTGCCAATGTGGCCTTATCCCACATTGAAATGAAAAAAATGAATGAAACAACAGGAGAACGATCCAACCTACAAATTCACCGTATACAAGAACATGAGAATGGCACAAATCTCCAGGAAGTGAATATTTATAATCAATTCATAAGCGCAAGAACTCCAACAGAAGAGAAAGTTATTCTGGAAGAGAGTGTCAAAAATAGTAACACAGAACAACGTATAGTATCCGAACAAACTATCATTATTCAAGATTCAAAGAAACTAGCTACTTTACCGCAGTACCCTGAAAGTAGTTCTCACCAGCAAGAAACGCAACACTCTCCAGTTGTAAACGAATCGCTTTCTTTTGCTTCACAACCAATTAAAAACGTTTCAGAAAATTGGAATGAAGATGCCAGTAGTACAAATACAATCAATTTTAATTATTGTTCAGCTGATGGGGATAGAAATTCTTTGAGTTGCGTAGCACCTGCGAAAACTGTGAAATTGAATGAAAACAACATTACATTTTTGAGTGCAGAAGAGTACTCGAAATTCGAAGTAAACAGGCCTAACAGAACTGATTCAAAGACCGTAGAGAGAATAAAAGCTACTGAAGTTACCATCAGTGATGATAACAGAGGATCTTTGGTACAACAACAACAACACCAAAATGGAGCAGATGACAACATAATAAGGTAATGAATGTTGTGGAAATTAGACATGAAACTACTATACTATAAAATTTTATGTAATGGCATTGTATTTTTATTTAAAGATAAATCTCCGAAAGAGTTAAAAATCGCATTCTGAATATATATTACTAAGAAGGTTTAATCTAAAATTAATGTTTATCCATTTTTGTTGCTTATTAGATTTTACAAAACTGCTCTAAATAGTAGATATTTTACTTGTAGTTTTACTTAAAACATCGTTCGTCAGTACTATTAAAAATTTGTTCTTAATAGTGAACGAGTATGAAAGAAATGTAGAGGCCAGAATAATATAACACGAGGAAAACGCATGATTTGTATTTGCTTTCTTGAATTGTTTCTGTAACATTCAGTTTTGTCATAAAATTAGTCTGTATTCTTCATTGTTCAGCGCCACAACTGTTAATTATTAACAGAAAATTAATGTATGTAATTTAAGATGTTCGATAGGTGGCATTTAATGTTTTATGTGCATTTTTGGTTCCTTGTTATAGTGCCCTGGTTGAAATAGGTATTTATCATTTGAACGTACTGTCGCTAGATGCTAGTGAGGCTTTTTCTTAATCAACTTTACTCCGGATATAGGTTTCCCACCTAACTGAATCATTAAAATGGGTTCGCTTGTACAGGTATATAGTTTTTAGGATTTTCACTAGGTGGCACTGAGGGATATCGTTAATAGGCGGTTCTCGTGTTTCTTATTGCCATTGAAGAAATAAAATCAATACAAACACATCTCGTTTTTAGAAGTGTCATTTGAAGAGATTCAAATCTTCTTTCTTCTTATTAGTCTGCTTGACTAAAAGTAAACATGAACCGGATAAGATCGCGTCAGGTTTTTGTGGTGTAAGCGAAAAACAAGACGTACAGAAAGGTAAATGTGTTCTCGCAAGTGAAAGAATAAACTTACAGAAAGGTGTATGAGGATTTTAGAAATAGTTCAAACCTAAATCAGTATTCACATTGTCTCACGTTTTCTTTATTAATCTTTCTTTTGAATTAAATTTATTTACGCTAGGGGCTTCGTATGGCCCGGTAGTTATGGCGTTCGACTCGCAATCTACGGGGCGCAGGTTCGAATCCTATTTACCAAACATGCTTGCCCTTTCAGCCGTTGGGGCGTTATAATGTGACGGTCAATTCCTACGTTGATAAAAGAGTAGCCCAAGAGTTGGCGAGTGGTGTTGACTACCTCTAGTCTATCACTGCTAAATTATGAACGTCTAGCGCAGATAACCCTCGAGTAGCTTTGCACGAAATTCAAAACAAACAAACAATTCTATAAATTTTAAGTCAGTTGGTTGATTTTCCCCCATTTTGTTAAGTTTTATTATCAGTATTATAATTGCTTGGACGTATAACAAAGGTTGCATACTCTACGTGGAACAAACGCGTTGTCTTTGAACACAAATAATAATTTTTACAGGGCTTTATTAAAATTTAAATAGGCTCTAATATGTATTTTTTTTTCAGCCGAAATTATTAACATCAGAAACAATTCTTATATTTGCCGTGATTCACTTGTTGCGTACGAAACAACGAAAACACGCCAAGTTATTTTGTATATATATATGCAAGTCTGGTGTGTATGCGTGTGTTCCCCAAACATTCCATTCTGCTTTGTTTATTCATGCAGTGATATAAAAATAAACAGACAGACACATTCCGTGATTACTTGTGTGTCGGTAGGTTGTAATTTATTTCTTCTCTCACCCGCGGCGCTGTAACCGGCTCATGCTCGACTTGATAACAAAAAGGAAGGAGTGAGTGATTCGTGGTCATGGACCGTTGGGCCGAGTTGTCGTTTGTAATAGAAGGCAGCCTAGAACCAACAGAGTAGGTAACTTAAGTTAATTAAAACTTGAATATTATATATATTTGTGTGTGTGTACACAAAGAAAAACAGAATACATGCGATATAAAATCGTATTGTTATGCTCCAAGTTATATACGTTGATTAATTATCAAGATGGAAATAATTACGAAAACACACACGACAACGAGTAATGACACCTAGATGTTGTATTTATTCATAGTACAAAACATTATCACAGAAAATTCAAAATAATAATGAATAACTTGTACATTGCTCGTATCTTATATGTGAGGCTTTTGTTTTACACAGAGTATTACACCTTGTTTTCTTGCTGTCATATATCAAGAACTTACATTAAGGTTGTGACGATCGGTTATCAATCATTTTCATGGTTACTAGCCCATACAGTCACCTAAGGCTAATTATTAGTTGGTAAAACTTTTTATCTTTTTATTCTCATTGTTTTATAACTAGAGAATTTTTACTAATTTGTTTTTTATTGGCTACAAATCTACTGCCGTCTTCAGGGAAGTCCTGAAATGGACTATTTCTGTGTTTGTAGTGGTTGGGATTCAATCTTGGACCTTTTGAATAAAGAGGCTTGTGCGTTATTTACTCAACCAACGTCTCCCCCGTTAGAAGTCGAATCAAACAGTGGCCACACACTACAGACGTAATTCAAAAATTTATGAACCATCTGTACAGACGATACAATTCGTAATAGAAACAGAAGATAACTGATTTCCATTCCTTGATTTGATGGTTACGAAGATCATAATTCATATACTACAATAGTTTATAGGCGTCATAGACTACTTAGATATGTAATACTGAAGTAATTAAGAAGAAGGAAGGTAAACAAATCACTAGAACCCTCTTTAACAATAGATACCCGAAACACCTGTTAAAGAACAAAGTAAATAAGACAAACACCAAGAATATACAAGAAGAAAATTGCAACCTTTTTCCCTATGTCAGAGATCTATCTCTGAGAACATACATTATTCAGAAGCCACAACACAACATGATCGCAATTAGTACACACCAAAAGACCCAGTAGAGAGAAAAAAACATCATTTATACATCTTCTTTAAACACGTATCTCATTACACTAGAAAAACAAAAAGGCCAATAAAAACTAGAATTCTACACTAGAAAACTAGAATTCAACATACAACACTTAGAAATACCGAGCTATTTGCAATGGTCTATCGTGTCAAAGAAGACCACTTTACAGACCGTACCATGCACTTTTGAATTTAAATAAACACAATGCAAGCATAAGTAAAAGAAAATACCTTTATTAAGAAATCTACAGAATGATTAACTTAAAAATGACACAATTTAATACAACTACACGGGTTTTCTTAGAATAAATTGTTTGTTTGTTTGCTAATTTGTTTGTATGTTTGCTGTGTTAGCACTGGTGGTGTTCATTTAAGAATATCTTAACATCACCTCGACCACATTATACCTGTTCGTGAACACAGTAACTTCCAGTGCACATGAGAGGTAGCAGATGATCGTGACAACATGAGGAACTCGGAAGGCTACTAGTGAGGTTTGCCAGTGTGTTTCTCAAAGTAGGTGGCCACCCGGAGAGGAAAACTTTTAACTGCTCCCCACATAGAGACCAGTGCCAAGAAGTACGATGGCTCCCTTGAACTACCAGGAAAATCACCAGCATGAAAATCAACTGGTTGCTAAGGGATCTAGTTATGCATAATCATCACAATGCTTGGTTGTGGTAAGTCATCGTGGTTAAGAAGAAAAGTATTCTGTCACCTGCTAGTGGGTGAAGTTTAACACCCTCCAGTGTGCTCCTGTTGTCATGTACAAATGAATGTCTGGACGTTAAAGAAAAGATCTTACTGATTTAGTTCACTAGAATAAGTATCCAGCTATCGGCAGATGGAGCTGAATTACAAAATGAAGCTTAAGGCTGCTTTCAGCACTCATGGTGAACTGAATGAGTTCTACATAATGTAATTTGGCCTGTGTAACAGGTCAGTCACTTTCAAATATCTGACTGCACTCGCATTACAGAGCTTACAAGAGGAAGTGTACAACATCTATCTCTCCAACATCCCATTGTTTGGTCACGTTTCAGGTTGCTTCTGAGAACCTATGACTGGTAATTCAGTGAATGAGGAAAGCAGGCCTCAAACTGGAGTCTGGAAAGTGTGTGTTTTTACGTATGATAGGTGCAAAGAAGTCACTGGCCCTCGAAGATCATGACTATCAAAAATTAGATCCGGCTCAAAAACCATAAAGAAGGCTGCAGCTGTCTTTACTTTGTGTTATATCATTAAATCATTGTGGCCGAATTTTCTACAACAGTGGAACTGGTGACATACACCTTAGGTGGACTGATAAATGTGAGCAAGCATTCCAGCCATTGACGTGCACCCTAACTGATGTGCTGGTTCATTCTAAACAGAGTTGTCCATTTATTCTGGATTCAGATGAGAGTCCATGTGAGTTGGCTTTAACAAAAAGGCTTAGTTTCATTAGGCTTACAAGCCAAATCTTTAATAATCAAATACCTTCAGAAACCCCAAAACTGAACAAATAAACCATACGGACGACCTTCAGTATCTAGAACGTGACTTATTAAAGAAGAAAAAATATCAAAGTAAAAGTAGTTAGCTGAGAGACCGGAGAGTACAAGTCCCAGAAAGCTGCGAAGTTATTCTCAGTATGAAACTTTTGATTCATCACAACCTCATCACTCTAAGTATGTAATACTTGTGTGTGTGTTTTATATCAAAGACTATCTACTGTGTCTACCGCCGTGAACCGAACCCCGGATTTTGGCGTTTTAAGTCTGTAGACTTAAAGTTGTCCCACTGGGGGACTGGAATATTTGATTCATCACAACCTCATTTTTCTTAGTATGAAACTTTTGTTTTATCACAACCATATTATTCTTAGTATGGAATATTTGATTCATCACAACCTTATTATTCTTAGTATGGAATATTTGATTTATCACAACCATATTATTCTTAGTATGGAATATTTGATTCATCACAACCTTATTATTCTTAGTATGGAATATTTGATTTATCACAACCATATTATTCTTAGTATGGAATATTTGATTTATCACAACCTTATTATTCTTAGTATGAAATATTTGATTTATCACAGTCTCACACGCTCTCTC